GCTGTGTTACTATTCCGCTGATGTTATCACCAAGGAAGTGCAGTTTCATGAACAGTGTTTTTTTGAAGCTGTTGGCATACTGAAACACTGAATTTAGCACCATGGAGAGGCAGAAGTAGTAGTAGTCAGCGGAAGCCATAGGAATCCACCTGAAGAAGTGAAACTTGTGTGTGTTCAGAAGAAATCTGTACAGCTGCTTTCCTTAGCTTGGCCATCGTTACATGAATGTAGGAACCGGATAATATATACACAGGTGAATCATTAATATTCATTATTTATTTCCTACACTAGCATAATCATTGATTTCCCGCATCTGCGTGATTATTGATTTTAATTACTGAATTCCCATGGTTTGTTAATATTTTTAAAATGTGACATTGATTTTCCTAACTGTATAAATACGGAGTTTTTGTTTAACATTTTCGATTGCTGTTAGAGACAGTAAAAGCTCTCGTATCAACGTCCAGTCTTCTTTCTTGCCTTGCGTGCCCGGCGGTATTGTTGTTGTTGTTGTTGACGTGCGATTAGGACAGATTAGCCAGCGCATTAAGTTAGATTCGCTCGTAGTCTACAAGGTCCTCATATTCATACATAACACCGGACTACTTCGCCCCTGAACCTTTAAAAATTGTAACTGTCGCGGGACTTTCGAACATTTCATCCAGGACCCTACCAGGGATCGAACTGAGAACCGTCAGGTTATGAGATAGGCCCGTTGGCCATTTAGTCACGTATACTGACTTGAATAATTTGTTATTCTGTCAGACTACATATACGTCCAACTGATGAGTACCATTTATTGTGACGGAATAATTGCTTAACAAATTCTTCCTGAACAAAATAATGACAATATTTAAGGTTATTTCGATGTTTCAAACAACTCTGTAATCAGTTATAGGATTTCATATTAAGGTGACATCCATTAGAGAACCATTGGGAGACCTGCAGGGAGTACTGGACAACTGTTTCGACCTTGTCTGGAGCTCTTCAACAGTATGCACCCACTGCCACGGTTTGAACTTAGGACCTTCTAGTTACAAGGTCAGAGAGCTCTTAGACCGTTGAGCAACTGCGACCCGATACAATGGTCAGTTCATGAATTTTAAATTCTGTAAATTCATGACATAGCGCGACTATCAACCGATGTCAACTCATGATGAAATCCTATAACCAATCAATCAAATCCCTACAAACCAATACCTGGACTCTGTAATTATTGTCCTTTTTTCTCCTAGACTTTCTATCATCCCTTTGACATTTGTATATCATATACTCACTTTATCCCTACTATTTGTCTTTATCCCTGTGTAACCACTAATTTTAATGATTCCTGTTGTGGTTGTCTGTTGGTTTGTAAGTCTTGTTGAAAGAGCTTTCAGTCTCACCTTATTGGTAATATTCTCTCTGATTCTCAGGTACCTTTTACAGTTGAATTTCTGTCGACTAATTTTGTTCTATATTACTTGGTTTGTGATTAGAAAATCACCTTGTCTGTACAGCTTCCCAACGGAATTGTTGAGGGAAACTCGTGTTTTTGATTTTATTATTGTTGTTGAGTTGAAACATACAGAATTAACAACCAGCAGTCGTCTTTGTGTTTTGCCTTAGAAGGGTCTTGTGGCTGTGAGTAGCTCAAGGAGATTTTGTCAGCTATACAGTAGGTGGCAGAGATCGACTCCCTAAGTTCAGACCACAATAGGTCAGTTTTGGTGAAAACGCATATGACGAAACGTATGCCGTTGATCCCACTGCTAGCCACCATCAATCAGACAAACAAACAAGATTGATTTATTGTTCAACTGTTTTTCCAAATAGATTATAATCAATAAATACGGTTATAGAAAAAATTGAGCAAATTTATCGGGAAACACATGACAAAGAAAGCGGCGGAAAAGGACTACTCACTGTCTGTAAAAAAGAAGCCTTTATATATACGACTACAATTCATGGGCGATATAACGAGCGAGATAATTACGAAGAAATTAAGAAAATCAGTTCAAAGAACTTTTAATGCTGGTGAACTACACGTATTATTCTCTCTCTACACGACCGATGGTGCTACCTCGACTTAAAAATGAAGTACCCAAACTAGCCACTTCAAATTGTATTTATCAATTCAACTGCGTTTGTGAAGCGAGTTATGTTGGCCATGGCTCTAGGAACTTGGTTTTTCAAGCTCGAGAACATATCCCATTGTAGGTGTAGTTAAAACCATTAACAGTTCGATATTGAACCATCTAATGAAAACCGGTCACAAAGCCAGCGTAGAAGAATCCTTCTCTATAATATACCGGGTGCCTAACAAATAACCAGAATCGTCGAAGCACCACATTCTCCAAACAGCAGAGACTATTGCAATTCGCCTCAAACAACCAGTGCTCTGTGTTCATAAGAAGCAAGTCCAGCCCTTACTACTGTCCTAGCCCTCAGTAGAAACTATAAACTCATGAATTTGTACCATTACCTTTCCTAATTCTTCTGACATTCAGCTTATTTTATGTTGGTGCTGTTCAGCTGTAATCTATCAATATTATTGATTTGATGTTATTCAAACATTAATGTTGTTCATAAGACTAATTCATTCATTCATTATAATGTATATATAATTGTAGAACCTGATGATGAATTTATCGAAAAGAGTACTCTTTGTTCCGTGTCTATTCTTTTGAAAAATTTTAATAGGCATTTTTAATCAGTCAAAGAATATGCTTTTCTATAATTTCCTCTACTGGCTCTACAGTTATATATATATGTTTATAAACATAGAATATTCTAGATTAGTAGTCAATAATAATATTGATCTTTTTAAATACTACCGATTTGTTAAGTACGATCAATGGAATTACCGTTCAAGAAAGACGTTGAAGTCATAATAAGCACAAAAATACAATAGCAAATGGAGTACTGAATAAAATTAAGGAAATTTCCACAACAGATTGAGAGTTGTTAAAACCTTGATGCCTAGGGGTTAAGAACACTGTCTGATCCAACAGATTTTATATATGTAAGTTAGGTTTCTTAGTGTCGATCCCAACAGTCAGCCTTAGCAATATGCAATATGGACGAACTCTTAAGGTGAAATTAATTAATAGGATTAGTTGGTATGCGGTAGATGACTTTGAAAGCCTCGTTAACGTCACTCTTGTGTTCTATATCCACGAGATGAAGTAGAATATAAATTTGAATGGACTTTGTGTGTTCCTTAATTTGCCGCCACGCACGATGGCATTCGAAAATCCAGCGATAAACACGCTCAATTGTACGGTTTATGTAATTGGCTCCACAGGAGCAATCAAATTGGTAGGTACACATAGAAGAGGCGAAGTTAGGCAGTTTATCTTTAACTCCCGAACGCAAATTAGGGCTTATTTTGAAGACAGCATACTTCAGCAGCACTGAATGCTCTTCTTACCACATCCTTCAGGCATTCTGTTAATATCTCACTGATGCTGTCATCGAAGAACTGAAGTTGTAAGAATAATGCCTTCCTTTTTCAGAACTGTTGGTACTTGACTTTTGATTAATATTCTTATCGGTGAATTTTTCTGGGTGACAGTTCTCATTCAGTAACTGTTTAAAACATATTTAGCTCTTCTTTAAGACATTCATCCGAGCAGATTGCTCTTGCTCAATGGACCAAGCACTTTATAAGATTGCATTTGTAGTTCGAAGGAGAAGCCGGTTGACCATTGACACACTCTAACCAGGATTCTGTGAATTGGGAGTGCTTACTTCTGCTACAGTTCATGATTTTAGCTCTACTAACAACCAATATCATCATTGGGTATTTGTCTTCATTCACACCCGATAACCCTTGTACACCTCACTGATCATGACATTTCAGTAGAACTCCAGGCAACTTTATTCTGTAGTCAGTCCCTGTTCAGGATCTGATTATTATCATATCATTATTATTGTTTCCTTTAATTCCTAGAAGAACATATGGCTTCAGCCACGCGTCTCCATTGCGTTCGGTTCTCTGCTCGAGTTTTCAGATGGCTCCAAGTCTGTCCACACGCTTTCATCTCCCCTTTACATGGCCTCCTCCAAGTCACCCTCACATTGACGACCAACTCGCCGCTTCCCTTTCGGGTTCCACTCGAGCGATGAAGTGTCTAGTGATGTCACTTGATGGTTTCCTGAGAGTATGGCCAATCCATCTCCATTTCTTCCTGTCTATTTGTTTCACAATCGGTTTTTGGTTGGTTCGCTCCCAGAGATCTCTGTTGCTGATCTTTTCTTTCCGGCCATCCGATCTTGAGTAGTTTTGGGCGAAGACAGCTGTTAATGAAGGTCTGTAGATTGTTTGAGACGCTCTTTATGACGCGACAAGTCTCTGATCCGTATAGTGAGTAGCACTGACTTCACATTGGAGTTGGAAATCTGGATCTTATTTTTGATGCTGATTTATTTTCAAGAATTATTTTATAGAGATTAGGTTTGTTCTCGAAGTTTGATTCCAGAGAGAACCATTGGGAACCGACAGGGATTACTAGACAGATGTTTCGTCCTAGTTTGGGACTCTTCAGTGGTATGCGTCCTTATTCATAATTGGTGATTGGACGCACTGCACGAACACGCATACCCACACAGACACACACACAGACACACACACGAAAATGGCCAACAAACACATTATTGTCGTTCTTACTAATATTAGTATGAAATATATATTCATATAATTTACATTTAACTAAAAGAATCCTATTGGTTAATCAAGTTGAACATAGTTTGCAGTAATTTGATTGGTTAAAAATGAATACATGAACTGTTTCAATTGAATTAACTTATCTCAGTAGTCTTAAATAATAAACATTCTATCAACTAACTGACTAACTAACTACTACTCATAAGATAATTAAAGTAGTCGCAAACACACCTTGACTGTCAGTGATTGTACTGATTTTGGCCTGTACTGTCGGATATACACATACATAGATATATATAAATATTTATATATATTTACATATACAAATATACCTTTGCTTAATTATACACAGTACATACGCCTATACCACGCTGATTATAATCACAGATAAACGTCAGTTGTTCGATTCTTCCGTTTCAAATCAGGTAAGCCGTTGCACTTTTGTGGTATATCTTTATGCTAATTTTAATTATAAGTTAGTGGTCATCATTTTTGTATTTTGTTAATAAACTTTAGTAATTCTATTTTGACCACAAATTGATATCGGTTAGAACACCTTTGAAAAACCCCCAGGAAGTACTGAACAGCAACCTGTTCCATCCCAGTTTGGGAATCATCGGTAGTACGCACTCACCACACTGGGGCTCGAACCCAGGACCTTCCGCTTACAAGGCAAACTAGCTCGTACACCATTTGGGTCCCAGTGGCTGAATGATACTCCCTGATGGGTTTTCAATGGTTCTCTACCTGATATCAATCCATGGTCAAACTCGTATAAACAAATCTAATCCTTACAAACCGAACTCTTGAAAATTTGGTAATACTCTAAGTAACATGATAAACATACTTCTTCCGCAGTTTTTCTTTTGCACTGGAAAGATGTAGGAATGCGATTTAACGTAGAATTATAGTAAACTTTTCGCGTAAAATGACACTGGCTACTTAACATCATTTGGTAAGGTTTGAAAAACATGGATATTTGATAGTTTTACTTGAAATAATGCAAAGCGAGTGATAGAGTATTAGTCACTGGGTGACAATTCAAGCAGAATTTTTTTCTGCTGCTCATAATTGTATCACAGTTTATTCACACGATTTCATAATGTGCTTTTAGTATATATACATACATACTTTTCTCGCTCCCTCCCGGCCCCCCTGTTGTTTATTGCAGTTTTCCATATCTCTGATATATGCGTTGAGTCATTTCGGCTAATCATTGGTTAATCATTGGATCTGTGTTCATCGAATCAATACAAAACAATATGTAATCGAAGTGAATAATCCGAAGAAGTTCAGCGAAGAGTCTCTTTTAAGCGAATTTTCCGAACAAAGTGTTTTGTTTTCATTAATGTCTGGATGGGGATTGTTCATTTTGATTACGAAAGTTTTGTGTTAACTCGATGAACAGAGATCCAATGATTAACCTCTCTCTCTCTCTCCACCTAACTGTATTATTTTTTAATACTTTCCGTCTGGCTGAATCTATATATTCCGATAATCTCTTTGACCCAAATCTACTAGTTTGACACGTGTTACCGACCTCATAGTCACTACTGTAGTATTTGATTGATTACATTATTTATTTTCGAATCGAATTTATTGGATCCATAAGCCGACAAAGTTTGTATAATTACTAAGTCGGTTGGTTGGTTGGTTTTGAATACCAACCTAATTAATTTCAGCCTAACTAATTAAGAATACTACACTGGGCCTCTGATGTTCCAACAGAGTATAATGTATAGACTCTTGTCCACTTCTTATTATTTCGAATAAAGCAAGAACAACAGTGTGGTTTGTGCAGAATAATATGGTACCATCATGTATTTATTTCCTCGGGTTCCCATCAACTCAACTGCTTACAGCCTAAATAAATTATGAGGTTTATGTGCAGAAAAGTTTTAACATACTTGCAAATTTTTCATGATGTCAGTTAACAGAATGTTTCACAGTTAGTGAACAGTGCTCAGAAAATTGGGCTTATATAGTTATTACACAGACAGTTCAAGTTTAAACAAAATAAATGTATGCATACAATGGTAAAGGAGTTAACCATTAAAGACGAGAGATGCGTGAGTTGTTGAGTGACTAGGAAATTATGTACTAATGAACTGAGTTCGACTCAAATCATAGAAATAAGAGACAAGCAAAATTACACTTTATCAAAGGGGTGAGTTCAAAGCCAAAGATTACGTAATCAAATGAAGCAGGGAATAAAGACATCAAGTTACCAGGCAGGCAAGGAAGGACTAATAACTGCTTCTTTGCGAACACATAATTCTGGTTTCAAGCGTTTGATAGAAATTGCTTCGGCAAACTTGAGGAGAATCGAGCTCCATTGTCTGTTGATAATTTTAAAGGATTTCGCGACTTCCACTTCATGACCAGTATCGAGAAGATGTCTGATAATAGCGCTATTATTAAAGTTTGTCCCCTTGAGACGTAGGCTTTTCGGCACATGTTCATAAAATTCAAGGTGTGCCCTTCTTTCTGTTCTCCCAATGTAACTGCTCACGCAGATACACGTAAATTTGTATACACAGTTGGAGTTAACATGATGAGGGTATCTGTCGACTTTTGAATGCACTAAAGAGCATGTTGTTCGATGAACGCGAACCAACTTAGCCACAGGATAGGCTCTGGCTGGTGACGTACTCAGTCTTCTGCTAACCATTGCTGCATTTTTTCACCTTTAAAATCTATTTGAATGAAGACAGGTTTTTTTCAACTGTGATTTGTTTGATGTTTGAGCCTTCACATCTTCCATACTAGTTAATGAATCTTTGAGGATAACTGTTGTTTTTCAACACCTTTTCGGGAATCGTAAATTCTTCCTGTAGTCTTTCTGCAGAGTATATTCTCCTTGCTCTATAGTAAAGAGTCTTGACTAGTGCTCGTTTATAGCTATCTGGACAAAAACGATTAAAATGTAAGCATTGTCCGTTCCATGTCAGCCTTCGGTAAATTGACTTCTGGAGACTACCATCTTCAGAGAAATGGGACTTTCCATCATTTTCATGTTCCATAGTAAATTCAATATTTTTATGTGCGTCGTTGAACAATCTGAGTAGGTAGGAAGCATGACTTTCATTGTTGGACACTATAAATGTGTCATTGACATATCGACAACAGTAAATTGTTTGGTCAATTGCATGCTTCAACTTTGTTTTCTGAAGGTTTGACATGAAGATAACTGTTAAATAAGGGCTAAGTGAACTGCCCATAACTACACCATCTATTTGTCTGTAAAGACTGTTGTTAAACTGGAATTGTACACCCATGGTACACATCAGCAGCAGACGTTTGAATTCCGACTCTAGTAGTGGGAAAAGATCAGACGGTTGATCTTAATGGTTTCATTGATTAAGATCATTGTGAACATGGAGGTTGCATTAAATGACTCCAAAGACGTATGTGAATCGTTCGTGTGATTCACACTTTCGGCGAAATGAAATGAGTCTAATTATTTCAACCATTCACTCGTGTGTTTGGAACCCGGATTCGAAAAGAAAATGTCGTAGACGATGTTGGATCTTGCTTCAGACAGAACAGTACTTCATCACGTGATATACTACCACAGTTACTACTATTTTACTTGAAGACACTGCATAAATACCCTGGGACTTCTGCAATATGTTTGAAAGTGTTGTGTGAAATGAAGCCGTTATTTTTATTATTATTATTATTAATACCCTTAATATAAAAATGTAAGCAAGTTGCTAATGCAGTGTATCACTGCATGCGTTATATCCAAATAAATTTATCTCATATGGAATTACAATCTACCTGAGTGGCCCAAGTGTAATATTTCACACACAAATGTCAAATCCTTCTGGTGTACCTAATGATTTATGAGACTTCTTTCTACCGAGCAGAACAAATGGTGAAAGCTCACGTTTATCTTCTTTTCCTGTTTGACCTAATTTAATGATGATTAAGTATGTATACATGGTTACAAAAACATTTGGTGTTTAACGTATACGTTTAATTTCCCCACAGAAAACGTACTGATGTTTAGTTTCTAAGGTCATTCATTCATAGTGTGTGGATAATCCAAAATACCGACAGAGAATGTGAAAATCCCTGACTGAGTGTTTTTATACAGGATGCATTATAAACTCCACTTGAAATCACACAGATAGTGATGTAGTGATGCGTTTTGTAGTCTATGTTACCATTTTGTTCACACCTGCATATAATGCAATGCAAATGAGGCTGTCTTGTTCCACTTATATTTATGGCGTCTAATATGATGTAACATCTGAAGTCTGTGTTTATGCATTAATCACCTTAATTATAAAAAAAAATGCAGCTTTTAAGTCATATTGCAAAACCTTATTGATCAGGTGTTCATTATGATCACTAAACGCTATCTTGCGGTAGAGTTATACACTGTGTTTTAACCCTAGTTCATACAATATATATATATATATATATATTGTACGAGGTGTTAGATTGGGAAAGACTGTGCATTTAGATCCACTCTCTCTCCTCTATGTTGACGCTTGTCAGTAATATAGATGTCTAACTTCAGATTCTACCGTTAAGTTGTTCACATGAATGAATATTCAGTTTTTGTCTTTTGTATTTGAGTGTTGTTCACAATGTCTATAATATTGTTGTGGTGATGAAAATACAATCATGAGGTTAAGTAACCATTGTATCTTTAAATATCGATCATTTTAGAAATTTTTTTATACTAGACGTCTGATGGTTACTAGTGTATTTTCAAGAAGGTGCCGATATGATCCTCTTCAGTGTAGACGTGGATTTACATCCACGAATGTCTTGAAACACAGAAATATAAACAAAAATCGTGGGGCACATAACACACAGTGTACTCAACTAAGCGAAGATTATATCATATAATGCAGTTCGGCTGGCCAAAAAATGTTTCGGCTTCTGTGAACACTACATTCATAGGGAAAAAAAAACAATAAATCGACTCTTACGTAGCAAAAGAGATTTTTTAATGTACGAAACCCTCTTCGAGGATTTTTGTTTTTTGCCTTAGAGAACCGTTTTTTGTTCGGTTCTGTTTGTTTTTTCTTTTCACTTAAGGCCTAAAAAAATGAAATGAGTGCTCTTCACGCCTAAATATTATCCTGTCACGCATTATTTTTAATTGTGTTACTCTTACAGGTATTTCAGAAAAAAAAAAATTAAAGAGAGGCTCTTGAAATGAAGTGTACTCATTGCTTTGTTCTTTTATTCAGATCCCTTATTTTTCTTTGTTCGAAATATTCTTTGTTAAAATAATGTTTATTTTGATTAATGAATTTATATTATATTTTTACGAGTTTGACCACGAATTGATATCAGTTAGGGAACCATTGAAAACCAGCAATGGAGTACTGGACAGCTGTTTCATCAGCCTAGTTTGGGAATCATCGGCAGTAAGCACCAACCAACCAGTGTCTGAACCCAG